TCTAATAAAATTAATTTTAATTAATATTTTGTAATTTTTGTCATTATTTTAAGGTTAAACCCCTATTTTGGTCCCTCAACTATTGTACGGACCCCCGACTTAGTCCCTCAACTCAAAAATCCCTAATTTGGTCCCTACTGTTTACCATTTTTACCCCAATTTAGTCCCTCCGTTAAAAATCCAATAACGTGTCCTGTTAATTAATTGAAGCATGATGATGTGTCAAAATAGAATGATACCTCATATGCACACCTGTAAAAAAAAAATGACATGGCAGTATGATTCGAAACCAAAATAAAAAAAAAAAAGAGTGGGCCTCACCTCCTGCAAATCTTGAACTCTTCTCCCTCATTCTTCCCATTCCCAGTTCCCAGTTGCTCATCTTGCCTAGCCTGCTTCATCAATCAATTCCTTCATCATCATGAAACAACAAACAAGATCCACAAAGAAAAAAAAAATTTCTCTTTTTTTTTTACTTCTTGCTCTTGGGTTCGAACGAACCCAGGAAGACGTCTGGCTTCCTGGGTTCGAACGAACCCAGGAGGACGCCTGGAACGAACCCAGTCGGCGTCTTGGATTCGTTCGAACCTAGGAAGACGCTTGGGTTCCACGCCTGGGTGCGAACGAACCCAGGCAGCGTCCTGGGTTCGAAAGAACCCAGTAAGAGTTGGGTTCCAAGGGGTAAAGAAAAGGAAAGAGAAGAAAGAAAGAAAAAAAAAATTTTAAAAATTTTTTTTGACATATATTTTTTTTTTCATGTCATCACTTTTTTTTCATACGAGGATCTGATGTGGCACGTTATTTTGACACATCATCATGTTTCAGTTAATTAATAGGACACGTCATTGGATTTTTAACGGAGGGACTAAATTGGGGTAAAAATGGTAAACAGTAAGGACCAAATCAAGGATTTTTTTGAGTTGAGGGACTAAGTCGGAGGTCCATACAATAGTTGAGGGACCAAAATGGGGGTTTAACCTTATTTTAAATATGTATAAAACAGATTTTCAAAATAATTATTAAATACTAATTTAATTTTATACCAGCACAATGTATATAGTAAAACTATAGTCATAGGCATTATACAATATTTAACGAGAATTTCATATAGAAATAGAAAAATTTTTAATTATTGTTTATATAAATTATTA